TTTCCCTCTCTCTTTTTATAGGACTTTGTACATAGAGGGAGCGAGGAAGCTGGATTTTGTTGGCTGGTGTGGGGCTATCCAGGCGGCAGCAGGCAGAGGAGGAGACACCCTGAGCCAGCAGCAGCTCACAAACACAGACATACCTATCATCGTTCACAGCTGCATCCAATACATCACGCAGTGCGGTAGGAGCCATGCAGAGATGTACACAGACAGTGACACAAATGCATTTAAAGAGCCTCAGCATTGCCTTTGTCACACACTGTCAGCATACACAGACACTCACATGTTTATTATTTTCAGAAAGTCATGCTCCTTATCTGCCACACATATATATCCCTGCGTTTATATTATAGTAGCAGTTATATAGAGTCTGCATTGCTGTATGGGAATGTGGTCTTTCTCACCGTCACTGTGTGTGTGCACTCTTGGCACTTTCTGCATGTGTGTGTGTCCTCATGTGACTATAATAGCAGGAGTCCTGACTCTTGAGTGAGAGCAAGAAAGACATCTCTGTTCCACATCCATTTCTGCCCACCCTCCTGCTACAGTGCTTGTCTTTCTCTCTTTTGGAGTCTCTTCTTTATTCCTGACTCCTCACCCTTAGTCTTCCTCCCACCCTCCACCAGCTGACTTGCCTGGCTTCCACTCTGCCTGGTTTTCTATCTCCTTTCTGTCAACCCCCGTTCGCTCCCTTTAAGCTTTCCCTCTCTTTTCCTCCTGTCATGCCTTCAATTCCCTCCATTTATGATTGTGTGTAGGTCTCTGTGTGTATCTGTATGCATGGAAGGATTCATGATCCTGATATCATCTACTTTACTGTCAGGAATGTTAATCTGTATGGACAGTTTTCCATGAAACCGGTGAAGTTTGTTCTCACTTCCATGTGCTGGTAGTGGTCGTTTACCATTATATTGTGATCACGCGCATGATTTTTCAAAAACTGTGACAAAATACAGTGACTTTGAATGTTTCCTGAGGTTGACATGACCTGGGATTTCTGATTGTGACAGGTGGTTGAATACCGACCATAATAAACCTGCATTATAATTAGGTCCGACTTGAGAAATTTAACACACTTCGGGTTGAAACAGGGTTTTAATCATGAGCCAGTGTTAACAGGAGAACAAGAAATGGAGAAAGCGAACAAGAATGAAGTTGTTCTTTTAATGGCATGAAGCTCTCTAGTGGGTGTAACTTAAATTAAACCGTTTGAGCTTTTTCTAAATGTATAGACAAATAAAATCACACAAAACTAACTGCTGTCCCCACATGCGTTATTTTTGCTTTTAGCAGGCAGTCGACAGCTGATGGACAGCGTCTTTAGAATAATGATTTATATGCAGTCAAACATGCGCGAATATTTTTTTTTTTAGAGAACAGTTTATCTAATTTATCTAAAATTAAATCTGTACATATTCTGCTCTTATACCCAAGCTCAATTAAAGCCCAATCACAAAATGATCCAGGCAGATGTTAGAATTTCTCCTATCTGTCATTTTGATGAACAGGGTCATAAAAATTCTGTCAAGCTAATGTGCAGCCACTTTTCATGTCAACACCACACAAAGCAGATAACGTTGTTTTAGCTGTGACAGTGGAGGCCAGAAAAAAATACCAGCCGTTGTGCATAAACAAGCAAAAATGAACAATGCAATTATAGAGAATTAGACAATTACCATTAAAATATGAACAACCCATTTTTATGAAAATTAGCTAACTAAATTGAACTCAGCCTCTTGTTGTAGCCTGCTGCAGAGGCGATTGTCACTAGGTTTCTTATGGCTGTAAGCTGAATCCATGCTCTGCTGCTGCACTGGGGATTGGACTTGCCAGCTCCACTTCAGCCAAAGTTTTAAAGTCAGGGAATATTTCTCCAGGGAAGTGATTAGAAGTTGTCCTGAACATGAGATCTTCTGATCCTGATGCACTCACATCACCAGGAGAAATCTGCTGAATGCGCTCCTTCTGCACCCCTCTGTGATCCATAGGGGTCACAGACATGCTCTGTGGTCTCCAGTCTGTGGCTTGTTAGTGTGTTGTCAGCTCCTAGATAGCGAGGTGCGTTAAATAGGTCTTAGTTGTCCTTCATCCACCGCATCTCTTCCTCTTTTTTTCACCTTGTTTATCAATGCTGTAGCAATTATTGGTCTTTTTGGTAGCACTACTTTAAAAGTTAGGTTAGGGTAAATTGCCCTCTATGTTCTAATCTGTCAAAATGTCAGATGACCTCTGGAACCAGGACTTTTTCAAGAAAACTATCCTAGTTTGTAGCTTTAATACCATGCATTTTACACTCTGTACAGTGGAGTTTTTAAATTGAGTTTCGTTGACATGTGTGACTCTCTACTGGATCATATGATCATGAAATTGAAAAATGAATACCAAGTTGAAGAAATACTTTTTTGTTGTTGTTGTTGTTGTTTTTCTCCCCCCAACCATGGTCTTACAGTATGTCAGGATTAGGACTGACAGTATGTACTTTGTTACCTGTGTTTATAACATAATGTTGTGTGTGGGGTCTTGTTCAATGTGTATGTCTAGGCTTGACGTCAGAGGGGATATATCGTAAGAGCGGTGTGAACTCCCGTGTGGCAGCTCTGTGCGAGAGATTTCGTCATGATGCTCGCAGTCTTTGTCTGAGGGACGGAGAGCATCAGGTGGACGATGTTGCCAACACACTCAAACGCTTCTTCAGGGACTTAGAAGAGGGACTGTTCACGTCAGAGGATGCCAGCACCTGGCTCAGTACTGCTGGTAAAATTCACAAAACTGTTGCTGCACTCTGCTTTATAGTTAAGCAGTAATTTGAAGATGAGTATCACAAAAAAATCTTTTTTCCACTTGCACCTATGATATCTAGCTATGCAAATAGTCTTATGTTATTTTCTGAGATGTTGTACTTGTTACTTAGACTTCTGCTGCCACCTCAAAGGAATGGAGATTAATATGTATTAAAAATGTCCAGGCTTTTCAGGATAATTCTTAGATGTTGCTATAGATTTAACGGTTCGGGGACTATTTTAGCCCCAACACTCATTTTTGTAGTGTGGCAGGAAAAGTCTCAGTGGCTGATATCTCAAAATCTTGAAGGGCAATTAAGTGGAAGTTTCTCTGGAGTTTTTAACCATTAAAACTATGCTCAAAATATGTTCAAAGGAGAATCAAGTTTGAGTTTGCCAGAGATGCCACAGCTGTGTGTCAGGTTATATCTTATTGCTGTTTTGATCCAGACATCATAGAAATGACTTATCATTTTCTTTCTTTTCTTCTTTCTTTCTTACTGTATTTCTTTATTTTATCTCCTTTTCACTAATTATTTCTTCTCTTTCTGTTTTGTCTCTTTACACTCTTATCTTGAACTTTCCAACTTTCCCTCTTACACACCCTGACATTCTCTGTCATATTGTTTCTCTTTATAATCCGTCTGTTTTTATAATTTCCTCTTTTCCTTCCCCTCTCTCTGCCTTGTTCTCCAGCCAATCAGAATGAAAGTATGAAAATCTCCCAGTATCAGCTACTGTTAAACAGACTGCCTCGTGTTAACAAGGCTACACTACAAGCCCTTATCAACCACCTCTACTGGTGAGAAACACACACAAACACTGAAATCCTGAGGCATCTCTTTGTATGTCTGTGTGCACATTATGTGTGTTTTCCCTGCATGTGTATGTTTCAGTGTACAGTACTGGTGTGACCGGAACCAGATGAACATCCATAACCTGGCAATAGTGTTTGGCCCCACGCTGTTCCAGACCGACGGAAAGGACTACACTGTTGGTCGTGCCATAGAGGACCTCATAGAACACTACACCCTCATCTTTGAGGTCAGACGTGGTGCTTACTGTTGGACAGAGGGGTGATAGAAGGGCATAACATTTTGTACTCAAAGCTGATTGATTGTCATCTTGCAAGTAGATAACATACAACTATTGTACTGTTTTAACTGTGTGGTGATAAGATTACGTTCTTACAGCAGCTTTTATTTGTTGAAGAAAGAGATGTAAGGTAGAAGGCAGTTGGGGAGAGAGGAAGGAAATGCACCATGAAGGGATTTCTTTTCCATTAGCTTAGAATGAAATTCCTGCAAAATTTACTTCCCATGAAAGACGGTCTCCAAAGTGCAGAAAGCCTTAACTGTAATATTTAGTTTTGAAGAGATGAAAATTCAGACTGGTGCCAGTGGCATTAGTTCTAACAACATAAAGTGCTGATTTCCTGCTGGTTTTTCAGCAGCATTAAGGATTGAAGGTATGCCAGTTGTTTGTGTAAGGGAATGAGTGTTTTCAACTCTGTTTGCAGGTGGATGAGCAGCAGCTACAGAAGCAGCTAGAAGAGATCAAGCATATCATCCTATTGCTGGAAAATCCCAACACAAAGTTACTTGTGAGTCACTCATACACACACACACACACACACACACACACACACACAAAGCTCTTATTTAGTTTCTAGCAAAGTATATTTTAATGAGCTGTAGGGTGTGGTTCATGTTTAATGATTTGTTTCACTTAGGGCTATTCCCAAATAAGGATTTGGTCAGTTTACTGCCAGTCAGCCCTTCAGCGCAACAATTCCGTCTTTTCTTTCTTTCTTAATAAATGTATAGCCTACGCTGTTCAACTAGCACGAATTTCAGTGATGATTTTGACCACGTTAACATCGGTATTTAAATGCAAAAAAGTGACAGGAACATATTTGAGTATTTAAAAATCAACAAAAGACAGTTGCATATGATGCAATATTTAAATTGCGACCTATTTAACATAACGACCTACAGTTTTATTTCCATGTTGTGTACATGCTTATGCATGTGCATGCTGCAGTTGTGGATCATCTTTTATCCTTATTTGTTAAGTCTCTCTGACCGTGTGTGTGTGTGTGTGTGTGTGTGTGTATACATACTGGGCATTTCAGGGTACTGAACCAGGAGGGCACTTCATTTGCACAGTGTACCTTGAGGAAAAGAACGACACAGCAGAGCGGCATGTCCAGGTGACCCAGACTTCACCACATGACATGATATTACTACTTTAAATTGTGGAGTGGAAATGATTAGTGATTGATTAGTCTTTGGACAGTTAGATTAATTTCAGTTACTCTTAAAATGACCACGCCAAACATTTGCTGGTTCTAGTTTATGATTTAATGCTTTTCTTTGCCACATGCTGTATGATAGCAAACCATGTATTTGGGGTTTACACTTCTGGCTTGATAAAATAAGCAATTTCACTTCACCTTCACCCTGGGCTTTGATCAGTTATAATAAGCACTCCGCTGTTTTCCAAAATTTTACAGACAAAACAAATAATGAACTAATTGAGAAAATAAACAGCAGGTTAGTGAATAAAAGAACATAAGTCTTTGTTGCAGGTCAACTTTATATTTTACATCATTGTCACCCGGCGCTTGTCCAGGGTGGTGTGCAACAAGTCTCACAGCAGCCACATTATAAACTAATGGAACGATGCAGGAGTAACTGTGTTACTGGTCTCCTTAGATTCCCGCTTCAATGACAGCAGCAGAACTGACCTGTGCAGTTTTGGACCAGCGCAAAATCTCAGTTAAAGACAAAGAGTACTGGAGCTGCTGGGAAGTCAACGACAAAGAGGAAATGGGTGAGGCATAGGGGTGTGACGAGATCTCATGTGATGAGATCTTGCAGTACTAAAACATGACACTATTTCTCGTCGAGGCAAAAGCTGCGATATCAGTGTATATAACAGAACTGGAGAAGCACCCAATATGACGAAGTGTGGTGATACAGTCACATTCCAGCAAAAGTACAACTTTTTGTGGGCTGCATTCGTTGGGAGGGGTTGCAGTGGGAGTGTTCTAGGCGTGCATGTTATGACTACATTATGATGAGTCGGCGTGAGTGGCTTCATTCATGTTTCCATCCCTGAGTTTTCATTGTGTTTTGGTTAGCCATGCTGCTAATGTAGTTTACTCTACCTTAGCACCATTTCTACCACCAGTGTGCCTGTATTGACAGATAAAAACACAGATTAACATCCAGTACTAACATAATGTGTCATTATGGTGCGTTAACTGTGGCCAAAATTCGAGAGTGAATAGCAGTGAATGCTCATGCTATCAAGGTAAACAAAAGAGTCTTCTTCCTGTGGGCATCCACATCAATCGCCCCATTTATTTGATTGGTCAACTCACAGCTCACACACAGCTTCAATTAGAAGTTAGAAGCTCGTGCATAGTTCATGCGCTTATAAGGTCTGAAGAGCCTCATATGATATGATATGATAATTCATACTCAGAAAGTAGAACTGAAGTGACATTCATTACAAGATGAAGAGTTAAAACATTTCAAAATGCACCTGCATTGTTTCGCAGACTTTTTTCTGGTCAAATATTTCATTACTGAAGATTTCTTAAAAGTCGTGTTTTAAAATATCGTCTCGTTTTGTTCTCATGAACCCAATATTGTGTATCGTCTCTTCTCGTGAGCTAAGTATATCATCACACCTCTAGTAAGGCAGATTGGACTTATCTTTTTAAATCTTCCTTTTTTTCCTCTATGACTCTTATGAGGTCCACAGCAACACAAAAACCAGTTTACAAAGCCTGTCCAGTGCTCTTCACTCAACCTGCAGTCTGAGTGAACTAACCAAAGTGAGACGTATACGCATCAGTGTTGTGGTTTGTTTGGTATGTGGGCCATCTGGTTCCCCACCAGGAAGCATCTAGGTGACTTGTCACTTGCCAGTGACTTCCAACTGCTTGGGCAGATTTCCCTTTACTGGCTAGAAACGCAACCTGCTAATTATAGCACATTGTTGAATGATTGTGATATAAGGAAATAAATTAGAAAGCATATGAATGACAGAATTCCCTCTAGGTCTTCTCCTCAGTCACTGCTAGACTTTTTTATATTACAGTACCAGGAGCTATTTTGAGTTTGATATGTAGGCATAAAAGCACAAACTGCTGAAAGGTGTAAAGTGACAAAACAAGTCTTCATTCCAGTGGTTGCTAAAATAGAAAGATACATTTTATAATTGCATGCTCAATCATGTGCTAATTGTCTCATAATGACATCCAGGTTTTCTCTTCTTCTAATGATGTAAAATTCTTTAGCTCATGTACAGTAAACAAAGGATATGAGGTATTTTCAGATGGTGTTATGTCATCTTGTGCTTTCCCCCCAGAGCGTCCCCTGCACTATAAGGAGCGAGTCTTACCCATTCTTCACTCCGTTGGCGCCGACTCCCATTTGCTCATTAAGAAACACCTTGCTATGGACACAATGATTAGCTACTTGGGTAAACACAAAAGCAAATGCCAACAAAATATCCCTTTAAGTCACTGCATTGCTTTTCCTGCACATATTTACATTGTTTTTGATCTGTCATTCTGCCCTCTAGCCAGTAAAGTAGATTTATCCAAACATGGGATAATAAAATTCAGAGAGCAGCGGAACATCCTGGGACTGGGAAGTTTCCATGACCGATATTTCATCCTCAATTTCAACTCACTCAGAATGTACAAGGACGTCAGAGTAAGACTGACAGGAAAACTTATGTATTCTTTCTTTGGTGCTTTAGTTTGTCACAGACTCAGTTGTTCTGTTTCTTTCTCTCTTTGACTGTCAGAGTAATTGTTCAGAACGTGAGTGGCCGGTGAAAAACCTAACGATTTACCTAGGTATCAAGAAGAAACATCGTCCTCCCACGTGGTGAGTATTGTATGTGCAGTGTAAGCACAGAGACAGGGGTACCCTCCTGTCATTTACAGTCCTCCCCATGAATACTGAGTGGCAAAGCAGCAGGTGACTGCTTTGAATGATGAGAACTTGATTCTGTGCCAGAGGGAAGACAGATAGAAATATGAAAGGCCACTGGAAACATCAATGGTCTTATCACTTACTTCACTGTAAAGCCTTCTTATCTTTCTCATCTAAATTCAAATTTTTAAAACATGCCAGAGCCTCGTAAGCATTTAGTAGTGTAACTGTTTTTCTGTAAGTGTACTTTACAAAATCACTGGTAATGGTGCCAGGCTTACAAATATAGTCATCAATATTATAGTCATATACTAAATGAGCATGGGTTGAAAAATGCAAATAAATGCCACAAAGAGCCCGGTGTACATTTTGAGAGAATAACTTTTGATTTCTGATTCTTATTTCAGAGTTATTTCGTTTCTGTGCCAAGTCTGTAACCCAGCTTTCTCTTCAGCATAATAATTCAAAGAAATAATTAATGGCTAAACCTAAATAATTGATTTTCTAATTTTGGATACATGTAATTTATCTGCCTTACCTGCAATGGCTGATAAGGGCTTGTGAAGACTGTGACCACTGGGGGGCAGAGTGAACCCAGAAATGACATGACATTTATAGTCGCACTGCTGTTGAACTCATTTTCCCTTTTCCGTCTCATTCTCTCTCTCATTCTAGCTGGGGAATGACAGTGGTGTATGAGGGTAAGAAACAAGAGAAGCTTGAGAAACAGCACTGGTGAGTAGCTGTCCACTGATATATGTACAACATATAAACCTTTTATATACAGTATACTACTGTAGCTGTCAGCCCCGAGTAGGTTACTCATTCTCATTCCAGTTTTAACAGGCATATATGCTTTTTTTTTCACTTATGTGCATGTGCAACATCATAGCTACATAAAAATCTGATGAACACTGTTGCACTTACAATGTTGAAATCATATCAGATTACTGTATTAGTTTGGACCATGATGCAGCTCACATAAAGATAGTCCTTAGGCATATATATATAGATATATATGTGTGTGTGAGTCATCTGTAATCATCTGTCCATAGATTATTTAAGCATGGTGAATAGAACTAGAAGAATAAAGTTTTTATTTTAAGTCATTTTATTCTTGTTCTCTCTCACTCTGACAGTTAAAGCATCATATTTTCTGCAGCATCCATCATTGCAAAATGATTTGTTCATTTTGAAACTTGTATTGTCCTTATGTTTAGCACACAGTGGCATTTTTCCCTTAGTGGTCATGTGATCACATTTTTGATGCGCATGTAAACATGACCAACATTAGAGAGGGTGGGCAGTTCGCTGTAGGCAGAGGATAAAAGGTCAGATTGTTGCATGAGAGTTTGGAGGAGGAAGTATATGAAAGGTCAGCTCCAACCGCGAGGGAGACACACATGAGTACACCTGTAACCAGGCCTGTTCACATATACATCAGTTGACTTCAGCACAGGGAGCGCTGTTCTCATCACGCTGTAGTCAGGATCATCTCTTGGTTACGCTCCATCGTCATGTCCAGCAAGAAAACACACCTGAGAGGAAGAAATGTTGCGAGGGAAGGGAGTGTTGGAGAAAGAGCATACTGTATACTAAGTTAGAAGTATTCCATTTACTACAGGAAAAAGCAAATTTAGTGAAGGAATGTCTGGTTAGAAATAACAAGGGACGGTATGGAAAAATTAATGGATGAGGGAGGTGCCAGTGTGATGGATGCTATGCTGGATCTTGGCCTCTTATTGCTTATGTTACCTCAAAACTATTGTAAATGTTCCCTTTTTGTTGCACTATTTTATCAGTATATTCTCACAGCCACTGCACTTAAACTTACAGGGACTGATACATTTTCAAAATATTATGTAAATTTTATTCTGTGGCTTTGTGGAACTCTGGGATGATAAATGTGCAGCAATTATTCTTCTGCAGTTGATAATAGTCCAGATTAGCATCCCATTTAATTGCATAAAATGTCAAATGATTTGTAGGAGATTACTGGGTACCATACTGTAGATATGCATGCTAAAATAAAGGGACTATTCTCTTTTGAATCCCAACACGCACTAATGAGTTGCCTTGGCCTGAATGATACTAACTAGGACGTGGAAGGAGCTGTGTGTGGTGGATTAGCATGTGTGCCAAATTTCCTAGCTGTAACTAAATTTATGTCTGTGTTGTACACTGACTACTGCATAAACTGCATCTAAAGTGTGTATTAATGTTTTGTTGTTGTAGTCTAAAGCCATGCTCATAAGTTTTTTTTACCAGACAACGCTCAGAGGGCACAAACCTCCAACAAGGCACATCAGTTTCCCCATAATACAATTCAATTTAAATGCAGTATTCCCATGATGGTTTGACCCTCATAATCGGATTCCTTGTTTTTGAAAACCTACTGCTGGCATTTGGAATCACATTGATTATCGTCATTAGTTTGAAAATTATTCAAGAGAAACAATAGACAGGAGTGATTACTGAAGGCCATGATCCATGCAGACTGAAATAACAATGTGTACTTGCAGACCTTCATAGATGCACACAACTCATGCAATTTGGCTGCCCTGTAAGTCCACTGTTTTCCATTGTGCCTCCTGCTACACTTACTAGCGCCACTGCACACCTTCACCACAAGGGGGCACACATAGTCAACTGCCTTTCCAACACTCAGTGGTGAACAATGCTTTTAAAAATCCTTGGATCCTGATGATGATCCAGCTCAACACCAAAATCTAATCAGTTGTCCTCTGGGCCATACCCATAAAAACCTTCACGCCAATCCATTCATTACTTCTTGAGTTGAGCTGTGAACAAATCAACCAACAAACACTGGTAAAAACATTACCCCCTTCTCTTGGTGGATGTAATAAAAACCTATTTATTCAGTGCCACAGCATGGCTGATAATTCAGACAGCTGTGTGACAGCAATCTGCGGGATATAAAATCTGCAAACACACATACAGTACATTACAGAGACACGCAAACACACATGCACATGTATTGAGCTGTGAAGGTACTAATTCAGTTTGTTGGGAGTTTAGATTAGGAGTCATACTCAAGGCTGATGCTCCTGGTGCCACTACTGTGTACCACCAGAGGGAATATGTCAATTTCAGTTAATATCTTTGACTACCTCAGTCTCTTTCTTCTGGATTTTTTTTCCTCACCTTATCACTCTCTATTATATGCAGGTATCTCTGCTACGAGACCATGACAGAAATGAGGGAGTGGTACGCTACTTTTCTCAGTGTCCAGGTGCGATCTGAAACACACAAATAGTTATTTGACAGAATTTAATACACATTTATTTATAAACCCACAGGCCCAGTTATTCAAAATTCATGAGTCTTGACATTTAGCTGTTTGTTTCCACTGACCAGTAATCTTTAAGGCTCGTAAAATCTAGGTTATGCACTAGCGTCAGAAATGGTCTTTAGCATTAGTGATTACAGTGTTATAGCGATGGAGTATACCTGACATTTGATGGAACAGTACGTGCTTTAAAATCTTTACCTCAACCTGACACCCTTATTTTACACTCCTCTTTGTGACAGTATTGTAAAATCTCTTCCTGCTCCCTGTCTCCATCTTCCTCTCTCTCCACTTCTCACTAAAGAACGATGGTGATGTGTGGCCTCAGGATGGACTCCAGCAGGTGCGGGAGAGCCGCGTGTTGCAGGATACACGTCATGGTAACGTGTCACTGATACCGCTGCGTGGCAGTGAGAATGAGATGCGGAATAGTGTAGCAGCTTTCAGCCAAGACCCGCTTGCTGTGAGTCAACCTTCCAATCACTAGACTTATCTAGGACAAACCAGGCAGCCCTGTCTAAAGCTGCAGGCTAATCAGAGACATTCATTCTGAACAGGTGGTCCAGACCCTCAACGCTGTTCCTCACTAAAGAGCAGAACAAATTTGTACTCATGCAAGTTGTGTAGTATCTACTTTTCATTTGGAAGACTGATTTCTGGTGCATGAAAAACTGCACCAGTCTTGAGAAAGGTTTTCTTCTTGTTGTTCACTCCTGCCAACAGTAGGACAGTAGTTGGGGGTTGTACCTGTGGAGCGACGATCTCTGTTCCATGGTTTATCCTTGATTCAATCATCATGACAGGATCTGGGTTCTTAAACTGTGGACTTGGACCAAAATTAGACACTGTTTTCAGGAGCCTAGTTTCCAGAACAAGAGAATAAATTGCAAATTTTTGTCTGGGTCCAAAACTGTTTAAAAATCCAGATGATGTAAAGAGGAGTAGACAGCAGCATCTTCACATTGCTGGAGGTTTGGACTGACAGCTAACAGACCAGAAATGCAGTTACTGTGCTGAGGCTCAGCCAAAGCTCACCTCAAAACACCAGAGTAACACCAGAATCACCCATTCGAGGTGATCTCTCTTGCCTGCAGGCAAACTATGGTTAATACTGTGTTTTACAGCACTGCTGCCAGATCAGCTCACAGAGTTGTCTACTTGGCAAGAATTTGACAAACATCAGCTTTGTTGGATGCTTTTTCAAGGGCACTGACATTAAACCATATATGTTCTACAACATCAGTATCAGCCTCTCCATCTCATCTCTTATTTTCATAGAAAAAATGAGCTCAGCCATCCAAAATAATTTCCTCAGCACTGCGTCTGTGCTGTGGGACCAAATGTCCACAATCTGATGTGTTTTTAGCCATCACATGCCGTACCTCTCATTAGTTTGCTGCAGACTGCAGCAGCACATAACAATTCAACTCAGTCTGCTGTTACTTCTATTGGCACAAACATGATTTTGGGGTAGCTGTGTTGATACCTTCCTGATTGTTGCCTTTCTAGCCTCTTGGGTGTATTGATTTGATGCATTTTTGTTGGGAGTATACAAGGTGGTGTGATTGCTTTGGTGATGGGACAGAAGCTGGGATCATGCAGGCTGTTTGTGTATCGGGGGTGGAGAGAGAGAGAGAGTCTCTGCATATTGATATGTCTAATTCTAGAGTAAATGTGGCACACTCAGCATGCGTGTCAGTGTGTGTCTGTCTGAATGAGACAGAGAGCTCAGTGGTTAATGACTCCAGGTGAATCCAATGATATTTGGTACTTTAAAATGTTAATACCACTTAATCTGCACTTCTCTCTTCTTTCTCACACACTTCTTCACACTTAACCTGTCTTCTCTATTTCCTTTCTGTTCTTAGTCCATCTCTACCTTTTACCTGCTGTTTTTCCATTTGTCCTGCTTCTTTGTCATAACACCTCTGTTGTTTATCTTTCAGCTCTTTAGAGATGTTCGATAATGGGTGCTACAAGAAAGGTAGGTTGGATACCACCCACATTCTAGATGGGCTACTTTGATATTACATTCATTTTAATTTTGAATGTCAGCTGCATGAGCTGTCTCAAGCTCATTGGTCAGTATAAACATGACTTCAGGGAGTCATGTTGCCTCCTGAGTTCCTCCATGCTTCCTCCTGAGTACTTAGGAGGAAGTTGCTGCAGATCAGAACTTATTTTGTTGCCAATATTTTGTCATTATTAAATTTGTTTTTTTTTTTACTCTGCACCTGTTAAAAGATGGTTTTCAGTTATGAATCCAGTAATAACACAGCTAATGAAGTAAATAAATGACAGGGAAGTATAATTTATAAAGTGGTAGTGTGTGTGTTCTGGCAAAGACTACTGTATTACATAGAGCTCAAAACGTTAGTGAATTAGTTGATCAACAGAAAATCGGTCATTTTTGATAATTCATTCATTGTTTAAGTTATTAACAAGAAAAAAATTCCCCAGAGGTGGAGCATTTCTCTACTTACTCTTTGTAAGTTGAATATCTGGATTTTGCACGGTGGGTCTGACAAAACAAGGAATTTAAAAAGGTCAACCTCTGTCTGGGAACATTTGAGTTGCACTGTTTGCTAAATTCTGACATTTTACAGACAATAATTTATGGATGAATACAAAAATAGCAGGCTGATCAATCATAATTAAAACAGCTACAGGTATTCGATTCAGCCCTAATAGTATGTAAGTTTATTGTATGATATAAGAGTCCGCTGAAATTGACATGTCATATTATTTGAGGCAAAGATAAAGCATTATCTCTGAGTTCTGGCTCATCATTTGGGTTGTCTGTCAGGCTGTGTATTGGCTGTTTATCTGCTGCCTTGACCACTGATTATGAAGTCCACATTCTGTCGGCAGGCTCATATCTGGTTGCCATGGCTCTGAGACATTTGCAGCCTAGATGAAAAATTTTAAGCTTGACCTCTCAGGGGGCATTGAAAATGCTGTGAAACTGATATTTAGAGATAAAAGCCACATGATAGTTTCACTAAGAGTCAGCCTGGTGACACAGATTAAAAAATTTAGGGTACAGGTGTTATGAATAAAGTTGAACATACTGATTAGAATCTCTAATTATTTTGATATTTGTTCTTTAAAAGGGTAGATGGTCGACCTCTGACATCATTTTTCTGAGACTGTACAGCCCCGAGTGATGGACGCTGTCAAAGCATGGACACTCATACTGTATGTGGATTATGTCCTTACACTGCCCTCTGTTTCTTTGAATATCAGCTGGACCAAAAAGTACAACCGGATCACAAGTTAAAGTAGAACCTACACTGGTTTCCCTGCACAAATGGATTTTAGTTGCTGTACAGTAAAAGGAGGTGTGGCATTAACATGAAAGAGAGACAGTTTGATGGACTACAGTCACCCTGAAGATGATCCAAAAATTGCTTCCAGCTCTGCGTGCAGCAAGCCTGCGCCCAGTGTCCCGCTGTTCCCATTGGACAGTGGGATGTGACTCAGTAAATGTATTGCATTATGGGACAGAAGCAGCACGAGCATGCTTAGCAAGTCTGTGCTTTTAATTGAAAAAAGTAGAAGTTTATTGACAGGCAGTTGTAGCAAAACCAGATTTCTAATTTTGTGATGTTTTTAGCTCTCTTTCTGTACTATTTCTCAACAGATTGTTGGGATAATCCTTCAGTTCAAAACTGAATAACTGCTACTGTAAGCAAAGCTGATAACGTATGAAACTGGGACCTGATTTTCATTGGTCACACTGAAGTTTGTTTCACAGGGACCAAGACTCGGACTGAGAGAAAACAGAAATAACAGGTGATGGATGAATGACTGTTACTCCACCGGGCATTTGCCAGCACAGTACAAAACCTCAGGCAGAGTTGCATATTTGTGCTCGTCAGTTTACCTGCATATGTTAATGTGTGTGCATGTGTTAGTGGGCGGACAAGTGTTATCTCATATGAAATTGTCTTTTGGGGAGTGATGGAAGGACAGGTATGTTCTGATTTTAAAAAGTTTTTCTGAGGATTATAACAAGAAAGTCACAATTAAAAAAAAAATGTGTAGAAATATGTGGTTAAAGTGTACGACACAGCGCTGTTCTATGCATTAAAGCGCTTTACAGCTTGAATGTGGCACTAATGCTCCATCATACAGAAGTGGCCTATTTAAGGTGCACTGAGTTTATCCGATTCAGAATACCAGACAGTAATTAAACAAAGGTGGTGGTGCGGCTGTGGCTCAGGAGGTGGAGCAGATCGTCCTCTAAATATAGGGTTGGTGGCTTGGTCCTTGCAAGACACTGATGCTGAAGACCAAGTTGCTCTCTGCCGTCAGTGTGCGAATGACTGTGTGCACAAATGGGTGAATGGACAAAATAGGAAAAAGTTTTTTTGTTAATTTCCACATCGAGAATAAAGTCAAACTTTAACACATTGATTTTTTTCTGGAAATGGTGTCAAGTTTAATCCCCAAATCTTCATTTAATTTGTGACATTTCAACTTTATTCTCGACATGCAAATTTAAAAAAAAACTTCTTCCTTAATATTTTTTGATCAGTAGCCTTGTCTGTCCTAGTGCTCTCTCACAGACCTCAGCACTGCCTCCTCTCTGCACTGTAGGGCCTTTTCTAACGTCTGTGATACATAGGTGTTGCCCACAGGCAATGTACAGTAATATGGTGGGGGTTTTATTTTTCCTTAACCAGCACTATTTATGACCAATTAGATTATGAACTAGTCTCATTGTACAGTAATAATCAGGTGCACAAAATATTAACCTTTGCAACAGAATATTTTATAGGTTGTTTAATAAAACCTCAAAACAAGGTACAGATGTTCCATTTAAAATCCATGTGCACAAAAACAAATCATCTTGTATCATTCTTGGGTTCAGACTTGCACATAATGTATTTTGTGTAAAGAATTCACCTGTAAACTGTTGCCTTACAAATTGCATTGAACATTTGCCCATCTTACCACCTTGTAGTGTTGTTACCTTGTGTCATCTGTAGGTTTTCCTTGTTGTAAAGTTTTTGTAATTTATTTGGGCAGCAGAGGACGCTGGGTGCTGCACTGCAAAATGTGGGTACTGGTGGTGAAACCTCATGTTGTTCAGTTAAATGTTAGTCGTTTTTTGTTTTAAACCTGTGAAAATTGTGTATATACAGTGTATGAGTGTGTTTTATTAGCTGGCCTCCAGCTCTGACCTCAGCAGGAGTTGAGAGAATGTGCTAATTGCAATGCGTATAGAAAGTACTTCATCTCCCCGTGTCATGACTTTAAGTTGTATTGTTTTACAACATCACAGTGAATGTACTATAAGAAGGCGTTTATGACACAGATCACCAGAACTATAATATAACATATTAAACTCCAGCTAGTTGTGTAAGTGCTCGCCCCTTAAAGTCAATAATCTGCTCAGTTACATGTACACTGGGATTGAGCAGCACTTGCCATTTCCTGCCATCACCTCTGGATTGGACTGAGGCCTGGGTTGCTGGCCCTGTTTGTACTTCACCCTTTATTTACCTGGCTTCACAGGACTTCCTGTGTCAGAAACAAACAGCGCTGCCACCTTTGTACTGAATAAAGTGGTGTGCAATATTTGAGTTATGACAATTAAAGCGGGTTAAAAAAAAAACTCAACTGTGGGCTTATCAGACTGCAATCTTCCTCTATTTTGTTTCACAGCGTCCTGTATACAGTTGTCAGTTCTTTCAGCTGCCATAAAGCAGCACCGCGTCTCATCTAAGTTGGAAGAAATTGTGTTCATCTTTTACGCCTGAACTGCACCAATGGTCCTTTTTTTTTTAGGCTCACTGTGTGATTTCTGAAAACCTTCACAACCTACAGTTGTGATGGGCAAAAACTTAAGCACATCATTTTCTTTCAGTTTTATATATGGAACTTTTGTAGAAATTCAAAGAAGTCTATTTTAATTGCTGTCAAAACCTACTTATTACCTTCACTGTGGTTCAGGATACTTTTGGTGTAAGTGTATAAAGACCAGCAGCGGTGAATACTTTTTTCTTAGCAGTGCATGTTCTGTTTCTTTTCTTATTCTGTTACTCTGCATTTTACTGAATTTGCATCTCTGAAACTCTAATAAACGCATTCAGTTAGTTGTTTGTATGTGCATATGTTTGTTCTATTTTTCTGAACATGCACATAATTATCGTGCGCACAGTTCCATTTACTCTGGGGGGAGCGGGGGGCGGCGTGCAGTCCTTGAGAAAGCCCTTGAGGCGGATTCCTCCCCGCGTGTGTGGTTGTGAGTACAGAGGTCCACCAGCTGTCTGTCTGTTCTAAGCAGAGCTGACACATCAGGGTCAGTCTGCACCTGTAGCCACACACCGGAAAGCCCCACAAGGCACTCGCACACAGGAGACCTTCACTGCACCGGTCTCATGCAATGGATACCCAGTGGGGAAGGACACCCAATAAAATAGCTTTTAATGTGTGTGTGTGTGTGTGTG